CTCTCTCTCTCTCTCTCTGTCTCTCTCTCTCTCTCTCTCTCTCTCTCACACACACACACACACACACACACACACACACACACTATCTCTTTGTTTCTCTATGTCTCTCTTTAACTCAGTATGACCAGTCACCCTATATATTCAATCAGTTGCCAATTTTTTTCATTTCTGCCTCTCTCTTATCTTTATGCTCTTGTACTACACACCCAGCCATTACTCCAATTCAAACTCTCATCCCTTCTGGCCTGGACCATTGCCATAACTTCCTAATTAGTCTCCCTGCCTCAAGTCTCTTCCCACTTCTGTTGATCTTCCATATAGCTGACAAAATGATTTTCCTGAAGTCCAGGTCTGATCATTTTTATATCTGTGTCTCTCCAACTCCCCACCCCCCAGTAATTTCCACTGGCTCCATATCACCTTTAGAATCAAATATAAATTCCTTTGCTTGACATTAAAAGCTCTTCGTAGCCTGCACCCTCCCTATTTTTCTGGTCCCATTATACTCCTTCATGCATACAATATTACAGCCATATAAATCTATTTATCGCTCTTAACCCATGGTGTGCTCTATTTTCCATATCTGTGCCTTTGTACTGACTGTACCCCATGCCCAGAATACTCTTCTTCCTCCACCACTGTCTTTACCTCTTAGAATCCTTGATTTCCTTCAAAGCTCAGTTCAGAGTTCAAGCACTACCTCTTTCAAGAAGCCTTTCCCACCCTTCCAGTCACCAGCACCTTCTCCTCTAATCTTAGTTGGTATCTATTTTTCATGTATCTTTTAATAAAGTTATTTGTGCTTATTGTCTTCCCATTACAGTATAAGCTTTTTTAAAAATATATTTATCTTATTCTGAACTTAATAAATAAACCAAGCATTTCTATAACATAGTAGAATAGGAAAAAAAAAAAGATGATTATTCATGAAACTGCAAACCTGTTAGTACAACTTGCTGTTCCTTTTAAATATGTAATAAAGCTATTGTGTAACTTGCTTTTTTTTTCCTTTTTCTTCCTTCTCCTCCCTCCTCCCGCTCATCACTGCCATTTTTAGACGCGAGTGTGTGTGTGTATGTGTGTGTGTGTGTGTGTGTGTGTGTGTGTGTGCGCGCGTGCACATAAAACCATTCTATACATACTTCTGTTTATTATTTCTTTCTCTGGATGCAGATAGCATCTTCATATCTCCTATATGGTTAATTTGGGTATTTATAATAGTCAAAATGACTTAGTCACTCAGAGTTGTTCTTAAGACATTTTTGTTCCTGTATACAGTGTTCTCTTGGTTCTACACCTTTCTTATAGCACAGTAGTATTCCATCACAGTCATATACCACAACTTGTTCAGCCAATATCAGCTTCTTGAGGGCAGGGACTCTTAGATTTTTTTATCTTTATTTTTGTATTCCCAGTGTTAGCGTTGATGCCTAACAGTGAATGAAAGGATTTTTAGATTTGTATGGCTATCTGAGCCTTTAATGTGACATGCTGGTGGACCTATTACAGGTACTCTGGCAGACCAGTGAACTGTCATCTAGCAGGTACGGGGAGTATTTAGTGTTTGACTAAAAATGGGAAGGAGAAGTCACTTATCTCTTAACTTCTAGCCTGTGCAGGGTGGAAGAAAGATGCTGTGCTGCTTTTGTGTCATAAGAACAAATCTGATTTAATGGAGTTAGCCTGCAGGGTGGTATTGTCAACTTTTTAGGTAGCACTCCATCTGCTGTGCTGTGTAATAGAATTTAGCATTAAAGGAGACTTTTGAGTTCATTTAATCTAACCTTGTTTTATGACTGAAGAAACTGAATTCCAAAGACGTTAAGTTTCCTAAAGTGAAATATAAATGTTAATAATGCTATTACTAGAGACAATGTGGCATCATGGAAAGAGGTTTTTATATGGTTTTCTGTGTTGAATCCAGGCATGAGCATGGGTCATTCACTTAACTTCTCTAAGGCTGAGCTTCCTCCTCTGTCAAATGAAAATAATAATGCTTGCACAGGGTTGTTGTGGGAATGGTGCTTTTTTGTTTTGAAAGTACTGTAGAACTAAGAGTCTTCAGTCTTGTTGTCTAAAGTCAGATGTAAGCTCTTTTAGGGCAAGTATTGATTGATTTTTTTTTTTTTATCTTTGCATCCCTAGTCTAAGCATAATGCCTGGCATAGGAGATACTTTAATAAATACTAGTTGATTGATTGAAGATCCTGTAATTAGTGAATGTATCACTAGGGCTAGAAAACAGATTGTTCCAATTAGATTGCTCTACAAGAGAGGTTACTTTTTTTAAAAAATTGTAGTGAGTTGATGTTTCATGAAGATGGTGCCGGGTTTTTTTTTATTTGTTTTGTTTTGTTTTTTTGTTTTTTATTTGAGGACTATTATTGCTCATTGGACAGAATATTAGAAGTTGGAGGTAGGAAGACCTGAATGTGAAGTCACACATTGAGCTGTAGTTGTGATTTAGACAGGATACTTAACTTGTTTCATTTTCTTTATCTGTAATATTCTTAGGATTGTTAAGCTTAAAGGAAATAGCTATTTAAAATGCTTTGCAAACTTTAATGTCTTATGCAAAAGTCAGTTATTAATTAATCAATAAATATTAAGTGCCTGTGATGTGCTAGCTATTGTGCTGAGCTCTAGGTATATAAAAAAGACAGTCCTTGCCCTTAGGGTGCTCATAGTCTAATGGAGACAATAAACAAATACATATAAACTATATGTAGGAAAAATAGAATTAAAAGAGGGAAGGCACTAGAATTAAGAACTGGGAAAGTCTTCCTGTAGAAGATGAAATTTTAGTAGGGACTTTGAAGAAAGCCAGGGAAACTTATAGGTAGGGATGAGAAGTGATGGAGGACAACTAGGAAAATGTCAGGAGCTTAGAGATGAAATGTCTTTATTTTGGCGGGGGGGTACAGGAAGGAGGCCAGTGTTACTGAATTGAAGAGTATGAGGCAGAGAGTAAACTATAAGAGGAATGGAAAAGTAGGTGGTGGGGGTTAGGTTATGACAATTTTGAATGTTAAAGATAGTATTTTGTATTTGATCCTGGAATGACATGATTGGACCTGTGCTTTAGAGGAAAACACTGGCAGCTGAATGAGTGGCTGATATACTGGTGTGGGAGAAATTTGAAATAGGCAGACCCACCAGCAGGCTATTGCAGTCGAGCAAGTGTGAAGTCATGTGGGTCTGCACCAGGATCACGGCACTATCAAAGAGAAGAGGATGCGTTTGAGAGATGCTGGAAAGGTGAAATTGATAGGCCTTGGCAATAGATTGGATGTGGGGGATGAAATATAGGGAAGAGTTGACCCTGAAGGACTGGGAGGATTGTGTAGCTCTTAATTAATAGGGAAGATAGTGGGAGGGAGAAGGGAAGAGGGCCCAGGACAGAACCCTATGGACACCTACAGATAGAAATGACCTGGATGAGGATCCAGCAAAGAAGACTGAGGAGGAGTGAAGATAGAAGGAGAACCAAGAGAGTGGTGTCCAAAAATCTAGAGAAGAAAGTGTCAAAAAGAAGAAGCAGATCAGTGGTGTCTAAGGCAGCAGGGAGGTCATGAAGGATAAGGATTGAGAAAAGTCTGTTGGATTTGACAGTTAAGAAATCATTATTTTCCTTCTGCAGGTATACTTCACTTAGTGCAATAGATTTTGCACCTGGCTTATAAAAATGGTATCATATTTTCCCTTTGAATAATACACAATCGTAGATATTTTAATTCCAATTATTTTCAATTGATAGTACTTTCGTATGTTTCCTATCTCTATTCCATGTCCCCAGGTAGTTAATAATTTAAAGATGATGTATAAGGGAAATGCTATTTCTAGAAATCAGCAATGAATCCTTTTGTGCCATAGTCACACATGTAGTTTCATAAGTTAGGATTTTCTTTTAATATATGAAGTCCTTTGTGTAGGAAGATTCTCTGAAAGAGAAGCTCTGATTAGTATGAAATATGTCATAGGTGAGAGAAAGTCTTTAAGTAGCAATCAGGGTTGAAGATATTAACAAAAATTCACATCTGTGGATTTGTCTACAACACTGGCTTCTTTTAGTATGGTTCTATGAAAAGAACTAGATTAGGAAAAGAGAAGACCTGGGTTCAAAATTCCAGCCTTGCTATTTGCCTGTCTGTGACTTTGAGGAATTGACTTAACCTCTCAGGGCTTTGGTTTCTTCGTTTGTAAATTGAGGGAGTTGAATAAAATGACTCCAAGGTTGCTTCCAACACTGTCTAGGTGATCCTATGAACTTTTCTCTAATCTCTCATCCTATGACTAGTATGAGGTATTGCAAATTAGAATATTTGAAACTAGGATCCTAAGTTTTCCTGTCTTGTACCTTATTATTTTTCATATTGTCTTTTAGTGAGTAAAATCATCTTTGATATGCCCTCATTTTACTTTCCTTCTCCCTTTGAAGACATATATAATTGCATTTTGGTTAGTGCAGTAATGTCCTTTTTGGTTCCTGACTTTAGTATTTTAAGAGAGAACCACTATTAGTGCCAGCCCATGGATGTAATAAGGCAAATCAAATTAACATATTGTTTTGAATGGGTTTAATTTATTTGTTTGAGATCCTGCCTGCAGATGGGAAGGATAACTTTTTAAGGTCCCTTCCAACTCTTAAGATTCTATGATTTTATGCTTTATTGAAGTATAAATAATTTTTTATGGTCACAGAAATATTTAGTGCTGAGTTGCCTGGAATACATTTGGGTAGGATGTTAGTATTTTGTACTTGTGGTAAATTTGGTATTTGAAATACAAGGAATAAATTGATGTGGGTAAGAGTACATATGACTTACAGAAAAATATCCAATGTATAAATACAATGAAATGCCTATAGTAGTTCATTAGAACTAATTAATGTAAGAAAATTTGGTGTTGAATATAAAGTTAGTAGACAAAGTGGTATGTTTGAATAGAATTTGTTGTACTTAAAAAATCTTTATCTTTTTTTTTAGTTTCTCAAATGCTTGCTCTTAATTCGGACCCATCTTCATCTGGAACATGTTTGAATACATCACTTAACACTTCACAATCAGGTAAACAATTATTTTAAAACTAGTTTTTCTTTTAATTGCCTGTTACCAGAAAGTTTAAGTTCAGATCATCTTTGAATTAGTTGTTTATGTGTATGACCAACTCAGCTAATTATTGAGCAAGATAAAAATGTCAAAAATTGTTATTTCCCCTTTTAAAGGATGTAATGTAAGAATCCTAATGAAACTAGGTCATGAGAAACCATTTGAGGTAAACCTTCCTTTTTCATTCTTGTTTTTTTTTTCCCCCCAGGAGTTTGCTTTCTGGCACCATATCAATTTTTTTCTTCCTGTGGTCTTGTATAAACTATTTTGTGTACAGTTTAAACAGTGTGATCCTGAGAACCATAGAAGACCTAAGGAAAAATTGTTTTGAATAATATTTTGCATAGGACCAACAAACAAAGATCTTCAGTGAATCTGGGAGATAGAGAAACTTATTAACTAGAATATGTGGATTAGTGACAAGGCAGTGGAAATAAGATGACCGATTAAGATTTTTCTTGATTTTTTTTTCCCTCCATGGAAGTGCACTGGATGATTAGATCTCATATTTAGAGGTTTTTCACTAGTCGTGATAGACTTTTAAGCAATCTCAACAGGACAGTATCTATTGCTCTGCACACAGCAGTGCTCAGTAAGTGTGATTTACTCAATGCCTCTCAGAATGCTAAGGTTATGTAGTAAATGAAAATTTTTAGAATTCCTTATCATTAAAGTCAATCCAGTGACAAACTGCAAGGTCAAAATTCTTACAAAGAAATAAATTTTTTTTTCTTTCAAGTTAAAAACAAAATAAATACATCCTGTCAATCTGAGATTGTACGGAATAAAGATGTAAGCATATTCTGTTCTCTCTGCCTGAACCTAATACCAAGAGAGTCCTAGATTTTAGTTGCTATGCTTTCACTTTTAATATGTGGGTTATAACCTAGACTTAGTAGTTTTATGAAGAGTGAAGAATTGTTCAGCAGGTCAAATTAAAAATAGAGAATTACTTTAATAGAAAAGAATTACTTTATGTAGCTTATCTCCTCTAGGATATTTAATTGATTTGAAAAGAGTTTGTATTAAGACCTTTTCCAGCTCTCAGTCTGTAATCCTATGATCTTCTTCTTAAAATGCAGTACTAGTCATCTTAGCCTATTAAGCATGAAGGAGTACCTTGTATCCAACTTCAGACAAGACAGTAGAATATCACACCTGGCTTGTGCTCTCAAAACACTTGCAAAAAAAAATGTAATTGGAAACAAAACTAATTCAAAGAAAACAGAGGACAGTTAATCTGAAATTGGGTAACACTGAGTCTGAGCATAATAGGAATATAAGATAGGGAGATAATGGTATGGCCTGCAGTAGTCAGGGAAGGCTTCCTGAATGAGATGACAGAACTTGAACTAGTCCTTGAGCAATAGGTAGTTTGGTTAGGCAGAAATGAATATTGTGACTCCAAGTCAGGAGAACAACATAAGAAAAGACAAGGAATTTGGGATAATGGTACCTGACATTTATGTAATTTTCTAAGGTTTACAGTTAACTTTACTGATGTTATGACATTTGATTATCCCAACTGCATGAGGTAAGTGCTACCAGCATTATTTTTCTATTTTACGAGTAAGGAAGTTGACAGAGAGATTATGACATGCCCATAGTCACATAGTTAAAACGTAAGTGTCGGAGGTGGTGTTTGAACCCAGGTACCTCTTGACTCCAAATCCAGCATATAATGTCTGAGGGAGGATGGAGAGACTTGCCTGATTGAAGTGGAGGGAGTTAAGATAAGGTAGGGACTTATATTTTAAAAGGTCTTGAAAACCAGACAGGGAAATTTAACTTATTTTGTTAAGTTTATTTACTTAATTTTAGTTTTCAACATTCACTTTTATAAGATTTTGAGTTCTAAATTTTCCTGCCTCCCCAAAACTGCATACAATCTGCAGGATATACATGTACAACCAGATTAAACTGTTTCCACATTAGTCAAAATTTAACTTATTTTAATATGGAACAGGGAACACTTATATTATTGAATAGGTAGTGACATGGCTAGAGATGTGTTTTAGGATTAGACTGACATCAGTGTATAATACTGTATGTAAATAATATCATGTTTTCAGGTTACAAAGTTTTTCTTACAAAAAATCCTCTAAGTGTAGATAATATGAGTAGTACCCCTGATTTACTGATGCCCTTAAAGGAGTGAAGTGACTTGGCCAAAGTCACATACCTAGTAAATGTCAGCGCTTATAGGTGATCATTGTGTTTAGTTAAGACTTTCAAAATTGTTCATTTTTACATTGCTATTATTGTACAACTTTTATTGTTTATTATTTATTATTTATTGTTTATTATTGTTTATTATTTATTGTATAACTGTTCTCCTAGTTCAGCTCACTTCATTCCATATCAGTTCATGCAAATCTTACCAGTTTTGTCTGAAACTGCCCCTTTCATAATTTCTTATACCACAATATTATTCCGTTACATTCATTTACCATAATGTATTCCACTGTTCCCCATTGGTGGCTACCCTCTTAGTTTTCAGTGTTTTGATGCTTCAGAAAGTTGCTGTAGATTTGTATGTATAGTTCCTTTTCTCATTTCTTTATTCTCTTTGGAGTATAGAGCTAATAATAATGATATAGCTGAGTCAAAAGACATGTACAGCTTATTGACCTATTTTGGTATATGGTATGAGGTGTTGGTCTAAACCTAATGTCTGCAGATCACTGTCTAAAGAGTGAGGCCATACCCTAGATGCTGTTTTCTTTGAGTTTACTAAAGTTTTCTTGAGTTTACTAAACACTAAGTAACTAGGTTGTTTTGCTTTGCTAGGGGGTGTACCTAATCGTTTCCACTGGTCAACCTCTTTATTTTTTAACCAGTACCAAATTGTTTTGATGGTTGCTTCCTTCTAGTATGGTTTTAGATCTAGTACTACTGGGCCCCCTTTCTTCTCAAATTTTTTTTACATTATTTCCCTTGAGATTCTTGACCTTTTGTTACTCCATGTGAATTTCATTATTATTTTGTCTAGTTCTGCAGTGTAATTCTTTGGTAATTTGATCAGTATGGCATTGAATAAATAAATTAATTTAGGTAGTATTATAATTTTCAAAGTGGCTCATAGTCTATTCATCAGCAGTTAATATTTGTCTAATTAGGTTTATCTTTATTTTTGTAAGCAGTGTTTTATAGTTATATTTGCATAGCTGCTGGGTATGTATTGGTAAGTAGATTCCAAAGTATTTTATACTTTCTAGTTATTTTAAATAAAATTTTTGTCTTCCTAGTGGGCTTCGTTGGTCATATGAGCAGCCATGCCTTAAAACTGATTAAAATTTTTCTTTAAGTCATTGCACTGTTTTTTTTTTCATTAATGTTTGAATGCTTTATCAATATCTTACAGATGAATCCATTTCTGATGTTTTAAATACATCCTTTGATGATATTTGGAGAAACTGTGAACGCAGGAAACGTAAGATGAAGTCAGATAAATGCGTTCGTAAAGCTAAAACTAATGCTTGTCTTTCTTCACCTGTAACAAAAACTGCATCTAATACTCTCTTTGGTACAGTAACACCTCAGAGATCTAAGAGTACCCTTCCTACTGAAAAAAGGAATTTCCAAAGCACTTTGATGACTGAAATGCTCACTCCTGAAAAAACACAATTTGAAGGAATATCTAAGGAAATATTTAGTGACCAGGATTATCTATCCCCTTCTTTAGCCGTAGGAAAAAACCACTCTGTAAGAAGTCCAGGTCCTACAAGTTCTTCAGAAAAACAATTGAGAAGTTTAATGCATTTAAATTTTCCTTCAAAACAAAAACCAAGGAAGAAGAAGTCAAAAATGAGATTTACCAGTCCGAAATTGCATCTAGGTAAGACTGAAAACTTTTTAGAGTTGATGATGAGTCCTGTAAATATATCCCCAGCCTGCAAAGAAGCAGCATATGATGATTATTTTTCACCCACTAATCTGAAAGAAGGGAATTCAAGGAATTGTACTTTTGAAGTTAAGCAGATATTAGAAAGCCCTTCACATTTAAACCACCAAAGAAGTGTTTACAGGAGTAAAAGTCAAAGCATATTAGAAAACATTGACTATTCCAGCTTTAGCAGAAAAATGAAACTGATTCTAACAAGTGATAATTTAGTGGAAGAAAATAACTGCAGGCTCAAAAAACTTCACAATTGTGAAAGAAATGTAAACTTGAATTGCAATCCATATAGTGAAATATCTGATGCAAAAGAAACCATAGGATGTTGTAGTGAAACTGATTCTCAGGAAAGAGGAAGAAACATAGCCATAGGTGGAAATAACTCTCTTCGTACTATTGATGAATCGGTTCATGAGAGTGCCTGTTTGGGAAGAGAACCTTGTGATGCTTTAATTGCTTTGGAAGGAAGTGCTAAAGAAGTCCTCATCAATAAGAAAGAATTGACTATTCCCATGACCATACAAAAGAGAGAAAACATTAACTCTGAAATGCTGAACTCTTGTGAAAATGAAAAACAAGAAGATCATAACTTCATTTTCAAAAGTGATGCTGCTCAGGAGAAATCAGTGAAAGAAATGGAAAATCCCTTCAGATGTATTCAAAGTATGTGAACCTCTTTTTTCCCCAAGTACCTTTGTTATAAGGATATATAAGAAATAACATACATGTTATACATTCATTGCACTTTTCAATAATGTCTTAACTTTCAGGTCCTAGCCTCCAAATAATGAAATAGTAACACAAACTAATGATATGTCAGGGTTTATTCAAATGAATTTTAGTTATTGGTACTCATTTTTACTTGAAATTTCTAGGAATATGAGTTAAATTCTTTGTGTTTGAATATAGTTCTAAATATGTCTTGGGGTTAATGATGTGGTTTTTAAAAATCTTCTTTTGCTATCCTCTGCAATGAATAATTCAGTATTGTTACTATTTTCATCATTATTTGTTTATGTAATAGCCATTCCCCATAGTGGAAAAATACCACACACCTAGCTAGCACTTTTGAAAGGGAAAACTTAAAACCACATTTAGTTGGCCTTTAGTCATAGGCAAAAAAGGAGTAGGAAACATGAGTAATTATGTTTAGATGAGAAAAATCAAAGCATAAATATTTGATTCCAGAAGGGGAAAAGAAGGAACTGTGACCAATTAATTTGGCAGTCTTATTCTGCCTCACAGGGGGGTTAATTTAAATAGTAATAGAGCTAGGATTTGAACTCATGCCTTGGAAACTGAATCCATGATACCGTGTGGCCTCATATTTATATCTTAGGCATACATAGGTGATGCTAATTAATCTTACTAATAAATTTTTAAATGAAAGGCAAATGTTTTGTTGTTACTTTGAGCAGTATTCATTATAATGAAATTCTAGTGTAGCTTAACAATTTGTGCACATGTTTGAGGTTTCTATTGGTAGGGTTTGACATAGAGTGAATTTATTTTTAAATATATTGTTTTAAAGCAAATTTTTGTTATTTTTCTTTATTAGAAAGTTATCTATTTAGAATTCTTGTTATCTGCTATTTAAAACTGTGTGGGGTATTGGTTAGAGGAAATAGAAAAATTAGATTCTTTGATTTTTTGATGGCTATAGGTGTAAATCAAATTGGAATTCAAGAAATGTTTACCTCAATCCCTGCCTGTAATTTAGGTTAAAATCTGATAAAATTACTTAACTATCCTACTATTTTTCTTTTTCAAAGAAAGGGTTTAGCTACTTTTTTCTTTACCTGGGGGAAGACAAATGATTCAAAATATTGAAAATTGAAACAACTGTAGAAGTGCTAGGTTTTTTTTTCCCTTCTGCCTAACCTCCGGAGCTAAAAATATTCTTTCAAATAGAATAAACATGTGTTATTATATTTTTACCTCTAATCTTTAACATTAACATAAAAATATTGCCACTTGATGATAGTGTCATGAAATTTTAAGTTAGTCCCAATAATTGCTACTGACATATTTGTTATGATCACAGTTGGCTTTTAATTTTGAGTGGTTTGTAAATTTAGCGTAGAATGGAAGTGTTTTGATATGTTAAGTGCTCTTTCTACTACTGTGGCAGGTTTAGGTCTCTTAGGAAATGTCTTGTCAGACTCAGTTTCACTGACAATTAACTCAGTCACTCAGGAGAGAAGTTCTCTTGTAGTCTGTTCAATACCTTACTTATCTCTCTCCAATGGATAACAGTATATGTTGTCTCTTAGAGGGACTGTTGAAGCTGGTGTTAGAATACTCTACCACACTGTATCCTATATAGAATCAATGTAGATTTTCCATTTACTTGAGATAGTACATACATGTGTGTTGAAAAGAAGAATTGAAGGAGAAAAGTTATTGCCCAGATAAGTCAGCAAATATTTACTACCTTTTGTATGCCAGGTACCATTTAAGGCCTTGGAGGTAGAAAGCCCAAAGTGAAAAAGTTCTTGACATCGGGAGCTTATATTTTTTTTAGAAGAGACAGCCAGTACATATATTGTTATGTGTAAAACTAATAAAAGGTGATTGGGAATGGGGTTATGGGAAGGCACTGGTCAGTAGGGAGATCAAGAAAGTCTTTATGTAGAAGATGGTATTTGAGCTGAGTCTTGAAAGAAACAAGGGAATTCCAGGGTAGAATTGAAGAGAGCCATAGAAAATAGGCAATGCAAAGAAACAAATGAAATATAGAGTGTCTTGTATGATAAACGGGAAGAATAATATTTTAGTTTGATCATGAAATATATGGAGGGGAGTTATACATAATCAGTTAGGTTGGGATCAGGTTATAAAAAGCTTTTGATGTCAAATATCAATCATCAACATGTATTAAGTGCCTACTGTGTTCCAGAAACTGTAATTATACTAGATACTGGTGATCCAAAGGCAAAAGTGAAACAGTCCTTGGCCCTGAAGGAGCATTCTAATGGGAGCAGACATCATGTATACATATATACACACATATATACACATAGACACATAAAGATATGTATGTATGTATGTACATACAAAACACAAAGCATGTACAAGATTTTTTTTTCAGGGAGGTAGTGGGAAGAGGAGGCACAAACAAAAGAGTGGGAGGCAAGAAGGTTCTATGTAGAAGATGATGAACTGAGCCTTAAAAAAAACAGGGTTTCTAAGAAGTGAACTCCTCTATACATATTGTCTCCCCTGTGGGAAAGTAAGCTTTTTGAGGCCAGTGACTGCCCTTGATTTTTTTTTTTTATCCCTGCTTTGCACAGTGCTTGCAAGGCACATAGTAAGTAATTAATAAATTAATAAATTCATTTATTCTAGGCATAGGTGATAACTATTGCAAAGGCTTGGAAAGGAGAGGTGGAGTATTGCATATGAAAAATGGCAAGAATATAGATATGGTTGGAATGTAGTATACTGTGGCAAGAATTGTAGGATGGGGCAAGATTGGGAAGAGCTTTAAGTGCCAAACAGAGAAGTCCATATTTGATCTATAGGGATCCACTATAGTTGATTGAATAGTAAAGTATCATGGTCAGACCTCTGCATTAGGAAAAAAAAAATGTGTGTGTACATATGTATATAAAAGGTATGAGAAAAAGGAAAGCCCTCTGTGATCCCCACATATAACAGGTGTATAGGTGTGTGGGATCTGACCACCCTCACTGGTAGGTCACTAAGCCTTGCCTGCCATTTGACTCATTGCTATTTATTTCATTTACTAATCCAGAGCTCTATATCAATCCTGGAGTATATCAGATAATTTATTTCCTATTAATATGTCTGCAGCCTCTTATCAATGCTTAACTGATTAGCTCAAGCCCCCACTCTAGTTCATTAAATAATAATTATTTGATGAGTTAAAAATAAAGACCTCTTTCCCATAATTCTTGTTTAAATTTTAACATCTTAATCTGTTAACAAATGAGAGTAATAATAAATGTTTATATAGGTGTATGTGTATTTATGTAAAACTGCTTACTATATTTTGCCTTTTACCAGTGTCATCACCAGTCACCTCAAACCCTCAAAATGTAGTAGTTGACTCCAGTTCTCTAGAAACTCAGTCTCAAATCATTCAACTCACTCTAGATAATGACTGAAGGATCTTAAAATAGCTTCTTTTTTTTTTTAAGGATTAGTGCTTTCTTTCAATTTCTCGTCAATAAACACGAGATACAATCTTTCCCAGAATGCACTGTACTGTTAACTTCTCACAGGATTTTTGTAAAATTCCTTTTAAAAGCTCTTCTCATAAAATAACATTTAAGATACCTTCCTTTTTTTTTTTTTTCTTTTGGTGAGGTCAGTTGGGATTAAGTAACTTGCCCAGAGTCAACAGCTAGTGAGTGTTATGTGTCTGAGGCCAGATTTGGATTCAGATCCTCCTGACTCCAGGGCCAGTGCTCTAACCATTGCACCACCTAGCTGCCTGATCTCTTTGTTACATAGATATTAGATCGTCATGAATCACAGATAAACACCTCAGTTTCTCCTCATGGAGAGATGATTCACCTTGAGTCATTTTTCTCAACTGACTTTTTATAGATCCTTAAGAAGAAAAAATAAGCACACATACCTTCTGAATCCCTGGGTAGATATTTCTCAGCTGCATCTTCAATCTTCTCAACATTCTGTCTGAATTCTTAAAGCTATAGTAACAGTATCTGTAGTCTTTGATATAGGCATTTGAAGCAATGGTGTTACTTATCTGTATATAATTATAATTTGCAAAGAGACAATAAATGAATAGGAGCTAATGAGGTCACCAGTCTAGACACAGGCTTGATATTTTTTGTGTTGTATACTCCTTTGGCAATCTAGTGAAGCTACATTATTAGAATAATTTTTAAAAATTCTTAGTTGAAGAAAATACTCAATTTTAGAGGTGAATGAAAGTAGAGATCTAAAATTTTCAAGTTCGTGGACCCAATGAAATCTATTCATGGACTCTTTGGAGGTCTGTAGACACAAGGGTAAGGACCCCTGGTATAGAAAGAAAAGAAGGCCCAGGACAGCCATGAATTGTATGTACCTACAGGGAAGGTGCAGGATAGGGATTATGACCCAGCAAAATTGATAGAGGCGTGATCAGAGAGGAGAAGCCGGATAGATCAGCATCATGAAAACAGAGAGGAGAGAATATCTAGGAGGAGAGAGTGATCAACTGAATCAAATGTTACAAGAAAGGTCAAGAAAGTTTGAGAAAAGCTAATCAAATATGACAATTAAGTGTTCATTGGTAACTTTGAAGCAAGTAGGTTCAGTTGAATGATAAATTCTGAACTCAGATTGCAAAGGGTTACAAGTGAATGAGAGGAGAAAAAATGAGGGAATTTGCCAGAGAAAAATGTGAGGTATATAAGAGGATAGCTTGAGTCAGGATCTAATGAGTTTTTTAAGGATTAGGGAGACTTGGGCATGTTTGTAGGTAGCAGAGGAAGAACCATCATATAGGAAGAGAAAGCAACTTAACATGTTTGAAGGGCTTCTTCCAGCCCCTGTTCAGCAGCAAATGAATAGCAGGAATGGAGGAGTAAGGAAGTGGTTTGTATGAATAATCCAGGGTTAGATTTGGCAAGGAATAAGAAGACGTGATAGAATAAGGGAGCAAGGGTTTGAGACACAGTGTCATG